TCTACAAGTGTCCACTGCCGTTCAACAGTTTGGGGTCACTTGAAAATGTCCTCTTTTTTAAAAGGAAGAGCTCAGTGTTTTTCCATGAAGACAACATTAATGAATGAATCAGAAAAACACTTTATATGTTGTTCATTTGGTTGATGACTATTCTTGCTGAAAAACATCTGTTTTTTAGTGGAATATCTACGTAGGTGTCTAGAGGAATTCTAACAGAGGACCAGAAAACCCTTGTGCGATGATGTTAGCGCAGCTGAAAACCGTCTCGCTGCTCTAAAACCGGCCTTCCTTTGAGCTAGCTAAGTATCCCATTTGTGGATTTGATTAGACCACGCGAGGGCAAATGTTTAAACTCGGGGTCAACAATTGGTCCAAAAATATGACGGGGGGCCGTGTTAGGGGCAGATAAGCAGAGCGTTAAGATAAATGACGTGTAAAAGTCATGCAAAAAGGCTAAAATGCTTCTAGTGTTTTCGACGCCATCTATTGGGGGACTACAGACGTTGCAGAAAAAAGGCCCAAGTAAAATGATAATATAAATTAATAACATCATTCGGACAAGTTGGGCGGGCCGGATTACAAAGGCAAACGGGCCACAACTGGACCCCCGGGCCTTTGCTCATGCCTGGTTTGTGCTCGTGTTCTTAGAAATGAAGGCTCTTCCAGTCGTGAAGTTGCCAAGAAACTTGAGATTTCCTAAAACAGTGTGTACTACTCCATTTAAACAGGAGTGGAGGGAGAAGTGGGAGGCGCCGATCCACAACTGAGCAAGATGACAAGTTCATTAGAGCCTTTAGTTTGAGAAACAGGCGGCTCACGGGTCCTCACCCGCAGCTTCTTTAACTGGTACCTGTGAAACGCCAAGATCTTCACAAGGTCTACAGTGAAGAGTTGACTCTGGGATCCTGGCCTTCTGGGCAGGGTGGGGGGTCGGGGGGATCATGTCTGAGGCTGGCCAATAAAAGGAAAAGATTGATCTGGACAAATGAACACTGACATTGGACAGATGAAGATGTAATGGCCCGTGCCGTCAGAAGATCTCGACCCCATTAAGCTGTTCTGGGAGCAGCTTGACCGTACGGTGAACCAGAAGAGCCCATCCAGTCAATCCAGGTTGTGGGAAGTCATTCAGGAAGCGTGGGGTGGAATTTTTTTTAGATTACCTCAACAAATGAACAGAATGCCAAAGGTTTTTGAAAATGAACTATTATGAAATGATTATTCCAAATAGAAGTCATTATTCTAATCTTGTATATAAGCTATTCCTTTTGCAACTCTTTTGAGCAATAAAAATGTGTGTTTTACTGCACCGTTAAATTCTATGGTCGACCCCAGACTTTTGAACGGTGGTGTATTTAAATTAGAGCTGTAATCTTTTAGAGGAGTGGTCGATCATGTCGTGCATGAGTTGATTTTTGGGCCCTTCCGGCTGATGAATTATTAATCAGGAGGACCGTACGGAGTGTCGATGGTGGAGTTGTCGGAGACCCCGTTTCACAGGTATCAGTCTGTCTTCAGAACACCCCCTTGTTTTCTCTAACTTGGTGTAGCCCATCACCTTAGTGAGTAGGCAACACTTCCGCCACTGCCCCGCTATATCGTTATCGGTTGATATCGGAATCGAAAATTAAGTGTTTGGACAATATCGGCATATCGGATATGGGCAAAAAGGTAATATCGGACATCCCTAGAAAAAAAGTCAAATCAAAAGTTTTCACATCACAGCTCGACTACAAACATGACACATCACCTTCAAATGATACAGTCTTTTTCCTACGTCAGGGTGCTCCGTCCGTTCTGATGATATCGTCATATTTCAGTGTTTTGGTCTAATAATCATTTTATAGCGGCCAGCGTCCCTCAGATACACCCAGACCACGGTGGCTGTTCAGAGCCCCCTATCATCCAAACGCCAGAATGACATCACAAAGAGAGTTGTAAATGTTGTTGCTGTTGTCGAGGCCCGAGGTTTTAAGAACGTGTTAAAAGTTGTGGGACCCGGTGATACAGCGCCAGCACGCGGACAATACGGCATGAGCTATGCTCACGGTGTGAGGGACTAAAAGAGACCGTGTTAAAGTTAGTACGACACAGCGAGGCACTGAGCTGGACCTCAGACACGTGGACATCAGTCCTTTATGACTGTGACTGGAGATCACAGAGAGTTGAACTGGAGACAAAACCAATAGAAGAGTCGAACAGGAAGAAACATCGCTGCCTGTTTCATGTTTCGGTTTGTTCTGAGTGAGCCGACCTCGTTATTGTTATGCACCTTTTGTTTAAAATGTATCAAAGTAACCTTTTTATTATTATGGACATTTATTGATAGTATCATTGTTGGATTTGGGGAGTTTATTTTTAGCCTACCGCACAATAAGTGCACGGCTTTTCGTTTTGATATTTTAGTTCTGATATCACTGGTTTACGGAGCCCCTAAAGGGACATGGGGGAAAAAGAAAGAAACGTAACTCGTGCTCACGAGATACTTTCTCGTGAGCACGAGAAAACACGACAAAACAATCATGTACAGTACGTACGATTGGGAAATCTAAGATACCGACATGCCATGCGTGACATATGTACTGTATATATGGTAAGCATTTAATTAATGTAGGATACCTCATTTAGACACAGGAGGGCACTGTTGTTGTTGTTGTTGTTGTTCTACCGTTGATAACAGTGTAGGGAGGTTCGTGAAGGGTAAATACGTATGTACGTCATCCTCTTCATCCTTCTGAGAGTACGCATCCTAATAACGATCTCATCCACTGAGTCCAATAATTGTAAAATCTCACCATGACTCGAGCCAAGCATAAAGTACAATTCAACTGAATCGTGTAAACGAGCCATATTCTTGGCTCTCAGGTGGACTGTCATCATTTCATTCATTTCAATTTTATTTATAGAACGCATTTCATGCACAAAGAAAACTCCGTGTGCTTTACAGACATGACGTAATTACGTGAAAGTTATCACGAAATACACTGGTCCCTCTCCGATCGCAGTCGTTGCGATAGGAGGGTACAACAACAGTGCCCTCCTGTGTCGAACTGAGGTATCCTACATTAATCAAATGCTCACCATATATACAGTACATATGTCACACATGACATGCCGGTATCTTAGATTTCCCAACCGTACGTGCTGTACATGACTGTTTGTTATTTTAATGTATTACCCTGTATGTATGTGTGGCAAAATGTCTTAGAGATACTTTCTCGTGAGCACAAGATACGTTTCTTTTCTTTTTTTTTTCTTTTTTCCCATGTCCCTTTAGGGGCTCCGTACTAGTTGACATATTTATATATTTATAGAAATCATGGGCTGTGATTCTGCGCAGACGCGCGTGATGTAAAACGTTGTCACCTCACAGCCTCAAGTATGAAATGAATTTCAGTTCAAAGCTATTAGGTCAAAACCGATTTATTATAAAGCAAACAGGACTGTTAAAGTGTGTCGCTGGAAAAGCCGGAACTTTACTAATGTGACGCACACAGGAAGTGTACGTCTTAGCTTTAGCCTCGTGTTCAACCAGAGAGCGGTTAAACCACCGTTGGTCGTGTTTCCTAAAAGAATCATCTTTCGACGAAGCAGCGATGTCTTCAGGACGGTTTAGAGAATTTATCAACGAACGATTAACCGCTGCTGCTGAGGAAATATTCACAGCTTTTGAAAAAACTATCAGCAACTACGAGGAAGAGGTGGATCGGTACAGAACCATGCTGGACATCGTTTGTAAACCGGAAGTGAAGTTACATCGAATAGGTCTGTAAAAGAAGGACGATGTAGAAAACAGTTAGGAAAGTCTCACCCAAGGAAAAGTGTCTGGAACTCTTTTTTTTTACACCTTTTTAATTGTTGTCCTCCAGAACTTCCACGTCATTTCGATGATCCAGGACCATGCAGACCAGGGTCCTCACATAATGGAGAGAACAATGGGGAGAACATCTGCATCAGTCAAGATGGAGCAGAAGTTGTTCTGAAGCAGGAAGATGATGAATTCACATCCTGTCCAGAAAGTCAGGAAGTTGGTCCCATGGAGTCAGAACTGGAACAAGACCAACAGTTCCAGTGTCAGAGTCCTCCTGCAGTTCTCCTGAGCAAAGACCAGGATGGAAGTGAAGATGGAGAAAGAACCATGGTCCAGGTTGAAGAAGACACAGATCTTCTACAGAGGCTGCAACCAAAAATACAACTCCCCAAGATAGGTGTGTAAAACATACATGTTCCATGTTAGTACTAGTCATTGTCTAGTTGAACTGGTCATGTCACTAACATGGTAGAGGGAAGTTGATGTTGACGTCGTTGTTTCTAGTCTTTGTTCAAGGTAACGTGGTCACAGTTTGAATCCATGTCTTTCATCTGTTTCTTCTTCAGTTCTCTCCAAACTTCACATCCTTAAGGAGAAGGTTCCCTCTGATCAGCATCTGTCTATGAAGACAAGTGACCAGAGTCTGGACCAGTGCAAGTCAGAGTCACTAGTAATCAAACAGAACCATGAGGGAGTCAGCGTCAGTCAGGAGAGTGCCTTATCACCTGGGAAAGGAGGAAGTGATGACATGGAAGCAGAAGAAGACTCTGACCATCAGTCCCTCTCTGCTGCAGCTCAAGGTCAAGGTCAAGGTCAGACACCAACAGTCAGTCAGACAACAGATGACAACAACACTAGTCCAACTGAATGGGTGTCAAACAGTGACCCCAACACTCCCCCTGGTAAAAAGACCTTTAGATGTGACACTTGTGGAAAATATTTCCTCAGGAAGTCTCATTTACAAAGGCACATGAGAGCTCACACGGGTGAGAAACTCTACTCATGTCAGGTCTGTGACAAAGTGTTTAATCAAATTTCAAATTTAAATCTACACATGAAGTCTCACACAGGAGAGAAACCATATTCTTGTGAAACATGTGGAAAAAGATTTACTCGAAGTACAGCATTAACCCATCATAAGAAAATACACACAGGAGAGAAACCATACACTTGCAAAACATGTGAGAAATGTTTTTCAAATAAAGTCAAATTAAATGATCACATGAGAACGCACACAGGAGAAAAACCTTATTCTTGTGAAACCTGTGGGAAGCGATTCAGATTAAGTTCCACATTGTTTTACCATGTGAAACTGCACGTTGCAAAGAAGCCGTACACTTGCGATACCTGTGGGAGAGAGTTTGCGCTAAATTATTACTTGAAGCAGCACATGAGGAATCATACAGGTGAGAAACCTTACTCCTGTGAAACCTGTGGGAAAAAATTCAGTTTTAATTCATCATTAAAATACCATTTAATGTCTCATACTGGTGAGAAACCCTACATTTGCAACACATGTAAGAAGGGATTTGCAGCAAAAACCCATCTGAAAATGCACATGAGGACTCACACAGGTGAGTAACACATTTGTGCAGCACTTTAACATGAAGGAGTAGACGACAGGTCACGCAGATGAAACGACGCATCCTCTTAAAACCTGAAGCAAAAGATTTTGTCATGTTTGAAGTTTTCAGATTATTATTCTTGTGTTTCCATGTCATTGACGTACAGTACATGGGAGAAACCACACCAACGTTTGACAAACAGGTGGGATTTTCTTTTTTAAGTTGGTCCTGCAGTGTTGTTCTTAAACCAGAATAAATGAATGTTTGTGTTGTGAATGAGGTCAACCTCCAAAATCCCAAGTGTGAATAATCATTGTATGTGTTGTGCCTGCAGTTATTTTGTGTTTTTGTCAAATAGTTTGTCTGTCATTTTACTGGAAACTGCTTGTGTTTGAAGAGAAAATGCCAGTCTTTCAAATTCAAGTTCCCAGAGTTCTGCACACCGAGTTGTGCTTCTCATCATAGTCGGCCAGTCAATTTTAATTATATTAAATGTTTTTCTTGATATTTTTCCATGGTCATCCTATCATTTGAATTAGTTGTAGATAAAACAGGTGAGAAAGACTGACCTCTACCGACAGATTGAAGGTTTTAATTATTTCACAGCTCTGGTAGATAGATAGATAAAGGAGTTTGACAAAAACGATTGATGAAAGTTATCATTTGATTACTCTGTTGTTGTTTGTTTGTTTTTTTTTTCCAAAATTAAAACTTAAGTGAAAACGAGAACTCGTTTTTAATCTTACAACGTCTGGTTATTAAAGAAAGTCGGTTCATGTGTCTTTGGAAAAGCCGGAACTTTATAATCTGACACACCGGAAGTTTACGTCTTAGCTTTAGCTTCGCGTTCAACCAGAGAGCGGTTAAACCACCGTTGGTCGTGTTTCCTAAAAGAATCATCTTTCGACGAAGCAGCGATGTCTTCAGGACGGTTTAGAGATTTTATCAACGAACGATTAAGGAAATATTCACAGCTTTTCAGATGAACCGTCCTTCAGAAGGATCTCAAATCAGAAATTCCATGTAGCTCTAAGTAACTTCAAGGACTTGATAAAGAACGTGGTGACTCTACGTTCTTATAGTTGTGGTCCCTGTTTATTTTTACTTTAATGTGTTTTATATCGTTGTTTCTGATTGGCTGCTACCTTGGCTCAGAGAGTTTTAATTTGACGGTTACTTCCTTTGTTAGATGAAGGTAAATAAAGAATTAATGGCCTGTCCCTCTGTTGACCGTTTTCTCGTGTCTGTTGTTTAAATAAAGTTTAAATGTTCGTTAAGCCACGTGCAGGAGTGGGTCGTTACGGGAATAATGATGAAAGAGTCACGTGAGTTCATTCACAGACAGTGTGCGATTTAAGCTTCAGTTCTGAGCAAATACAAGGGTCGAATAGTCAAATCTTCGGGACCAATTTAATATATATTTATATATATTTCATATCCGGTGTTGATGTGAAAACGGTGACTTTTAGAGCGGACAGAGAAAATAGGAAGTTCCTGTTCCATTTAAACACCCCGACGGAGCTGCTGTTTTTAAAGAGATGTGACGTATGTTCGGCCCAAAGTTCACAGAGGTCAACTCCCATAAGTCTTAGGTTGTGTCTTCAACTGTGGTTAAAAAAAAGAAAAGACATTGTATCGAAAGAAAGGTCGGAACCTAATGATGTGACACACACAGGAAGTGTGCGTCGTGATATTATCTCAGTCTCCCGTGACTGTAAAAGCACTTAGTAGAAGAAGAGAAAATCTTTCGACGAAGCAGCGATGTCTTCAGGAAGGTTTAGAGAATTTATCAACGAACGAGTAACCGCTGCTGCTGAGGAAATATTCACAGCTTTT